GGGTTTAGGGTTTAGGGGTTCCGTTTTGGGGGTTCATATTTAGAAGCCTGTAAGGTACTCCCGAAAAGGAGTTACTATGGGGCCTATGGGTAGGGGCCCTGATGAAGTGAACAGGTAATATACGGGCCTTCATGATCCAAAGAGGGTCTTGGGGTGCATCATACTATGTTTATAAAAGGGGGACCGCAAAATAAAATTGGTAATTATTCAGGCCCTATAGCAGCTCCTTTAACAGATTCCTTCCAAGGGTTACATACGGGTGGCTGATGCTCCCTGATAAGGACCCCAGCAAGGTTCACAGTTTGTGGCTTGTGGTGTTCGTGCTTAGGATCTAGTTTTTCGGGTCCAAGCTGAGGGGGGGGCAAGGGCACCGAAAGCCTAAAGACTGCGGCAGCCAGCTGGGATGAATGACCATTTGCCGGCTTCGGGTCAACTGCAGGCAAATTCATTCACAGCTTGATGCTGTTAAAGTTCTGCAATGTGTCCTGGGCGTGCCTTTGAAGTTGTTGTCATGCGGTTGCAATAACTTGCCTTTAGGTCACAACAGCCCCAAACACAGAGGCACGCACAGGCTTAATGCAGCCGGTTCGAAACTTCCAGAAAAATCCTTACTCATACCGCCTCGACCCCCAACTACCGTACTACCGTCTCGTTGAAGACCGCTTTGGCTCACCCTCAAACCCTACCTATATTATCCATGGTAATTCCTTTGTCGGGTTACCTGTGTTGCAACAGTGGGTTAGACACATTTCCACTCCTGACCTCATGTCCTTCCGCTTCCGTTTCATGACCTCATGTCCTTCCGCTTCCGTTTCCGCTTTCGTTTCCGTTTAATCTTCCCTGTTAAGTTTTAGTTTATTCCCGTGGGCACTTCCGTTTCGGCTCCTGTTTGTTTGCATCGGGGCTTCCTCTGTGGCCTCAGTTCAACGTCCAGATATGATGCTTAAGAAGCGAATCAAACCTTACACTCCCGACTGAGGGCCAATCGCTGTAGATTGAAAGCGGATGCAAGCAGCTGTAGCCACTTGCAAGTAGCACGGGCAAAATTACTGTCAACCCCAAACCCTACCTGTAGCCGAAAAGAACTACCTTTTTAGGGCTTCGTAATTATGGTTTCTATGTAGTGTAGTCCTTGCTGGGCCACAGGTAATGTCGGGGCCTTCATAGTTAGAATTAGGTTTTGGGGCATACTATACTAAAACTATAGTAAGGCACCCGCTCAAAGTAGTGTAGGTAATTATTAAGGCCCCTATATTACACCCTAAACGCTAAATCCTAAACCTACACTCCCTACTGGCCCGACCTCTCTGCCGCAAGCTTCTCGGCTTTGGCCGCTCGCTCGGCATCTGCCTCTCGGAGCGGCAATTTCGTCGTTCCCTTTAAAGGACTTTAGGGTCTAGGGATTACTAAATAACCCATATTACACTGCCTGCCGCCTTGTATCATTGGTTGGGGTCGAAGTGCTACCAACTTTGCTATCTGTCATTTGTTCTTCCTCGCACTTGACCTACAGCTGCACTCGAATATATACGCGCTATACATATAACTTGATGGTGCAAGGGCTACAGAACCAGGATGAGACTCTGCGCTTCGAAAAAACTTGTCTGCTCGGCTCCCTTCCGAAAGGGAAGTTGAGGAGGAATTCGGCTTCGGATTCAGAGGATTAAAGGAAGGGCCCCCCAAAAAATAAGAATAGGGTTTTGGGGATTCCTTAATATAATTATAGTATGAAATACTCCAAACCCCGTTCAAATTATTAAGGCCCCTACATTATGGAATCTTTAAGGTGGAGTAGCCCAAGCCCTCTTGCACCTGTGCCTCATAGCCCCAAACCTCCAAGCCCTCGACCATGGCTCTCCAAGCTCGATACACCGAAAAAACAGCGGCAACAAACCCTAGACCCTAAGACCCTTTTTTGAACGAGGTCTCTCTGAAGTGCCTCTAACAGTATGACCCTAAAACCCTAAACCCTAGAGACCCTAAGGCTTAGGGTCTATAGGGTTTCGGGTTTAAGGTTTAGGGTTTAGGGGCCCAAAGGCCCTAAACTGACTAAACCCTACCGGGCCCTACTAACTAAGCCCTACCTTAACCCAAAGAACCTACCGTTTTAAGCACTTATATGAAGAAACTATAATAAGGAACCCTAGAAGGTAGGTTCTTTGGGGTTAAGGTAATTGTGCCTGTTGCACGGCAGTGTCTTCCACCTGGTCGGCGGTTCTGATTCTCAGAGGTTCGTGGGAAGCGCCATGGTTTGGGGTTTAGGTTTTAGGGGTTTAGGGTTCAGGAGTTGAGGGGTTTAGGGTTTGGGGTTTAGGGGTTTGGGGTTTAGGGGTTTAGGGTTTAGGGTTTCGGGGTCTAGGGGTTCAGGGTTTAGGGTTTAGGGGAGGGCCAGTTCTTCAAGACATCCCGCCAGTGGCAAGTTCGGCAAGTTCGGACGGTTTAGGGTTTAGAGTTTAGGGTTTAGAGGAGATGAGCATTACCGGAAGCAGGAAAAGATTGAGCATAAGCATACGGTTGTTCATAAATCAGGGGTCCTCTAATTGACGCGCAATATACATGGTATGTACATATATATATATGTATATATATATATATATAAATATCTATATATATATATATAAATATAGTATGTATAAACAAATAAATAAGTAAATATATATATATATATATATGTGTGTATGTATCTCTCTGTGTATATATATATATACATACATACATACGTATGTACGCATGTAGTTACGTGTGTCTAGTATTATGTTTAAGGACCCTACATTTTTTGCAGGGTCGCTTGGTTCAGATACTACAATGACACTGCAGAACCCATGTCAAAATCAAGAACGAAGAACGAAGCAAAGAGTTAGGATGACTTTCCTGCTACCCCACCCGACACCCTTTTGCACTGAACCCTAACTGCGCCTAACCACCGGAACGCTAAACCCATCCATAAACAAGCCCTAAGAGCTCAAACCCTGAAGCCCTAAATCCCTGAAGTTTGAAGCGGCAAACCCCTGCCTAAACCCAATACCTGTAGTCTCCATTGTAGTTCCTTTTTTTGGTTTAACCAATTATATATTGAGGAGTTTATAAGGCATCCCCAAAAAGGAACTACAATGGAGACTATAGGTAGTAAGTAAGGCTATAAGTCCCCTAATTGGGGTTGTAAGTAAATATAAGTATAGTTGCCTTAATTATAACCCTACTTACTAAGTCCCATGATCCTTTAAGTGGCAGAATGTAGAAGGAGTAGGTTTTAAAGTTCAAACCTTGAACCTCGCCCTTCACGACATGATCTGTTGAAGCCCCTTCCGAACACCCGCAGCTTCAAACTCGCGCAAGGCCTCATGTAGGGGCCTTAATAATTCGAATAGGGTTTTGGGGGCTCCTTATTATAATTATAAAAAGTAAGATACCCCACACCCTATTCTGACTATTAAGGCCCTTATATTATAGTGGTCACTCCAACTTTCTACACATCAGGCCACACTTAGTGGTCATTGTGATAAAACGCGACGACTTGCACAACCCGGAACCATAAACCCATCGCGCCAAGCGGTTCTCGCCAATGGCAGCTCTGGTTACACACTTTGTCGTGCCTAGGCCGCCCTGAGCCTTCGAGCCGGGGCCTCATAGACCATAAACCCTAAACCCTAAGCGCTAATCCCCTGCATGTGCTTTAACTGTACCCTGAAGGCGGTAGCACGGCATCCTCACTTGGGCCGCCAAAGCCTGTGCCTGACACTGCCCGACTTTAAAATGCCCGAAAGGCTCTAAGGATCCGAAGTCTAGAGTCTGAAGCCCATCCATGGCCGAAAGACGATGGAGTTTCGAAAGAGATAAGCCTCATAACAGAGCCCTGAAACTCGGGGCCCTAAAACGCTGGAACCCCAACATTGCCTCCTCCAGCTCGTCAAAATCCATGCTGCACAGGCCCGGAAAGAAGGAAAATCGGGGGTGGGCCACTGGCGCTGGGGGGACAGGCGGAAAGCAAAACTTTGGCGTGGGCCGGCGGCTGCGGGGAGAGAGCCTCAAAAGCTGTTTTGTCAACTCCCACGGTTTAGGGTTTAGGGTTTAGGGGTTTAGAACCCCAAACCAACAGTAATTTAGTAATGTCTGGTTTTGCCAGGTTTCGGGTTTGGTTTTAACCCAAGGAAATTTAGAGCTTCGGTGTTTCGACAAGCCATCAAGACGGCATAAAGTATCGCGAGGACTTGACCTCTCCTACATGCTAAAACTACCTGAATTCTACTTCTTTGTAGGGCCTCTATGAGTTCCACATTAGGGTTTCTAATAAGAACCTACCAAAAAGTAGGGTTTGGTAGGTCAAGGTAGGTACCCATAGGCCCCATAGTAATTCCTTTTGGGGATTACCTTATAGGATTCTAAATGTGAACCCCCAAAAGGAACTACTATGGGGCCTCTGGGTAAGGGCCTAAAGTACGTAATACGTAACCCCGGCAAACCTGATTATGAGCACCCAGACCGTTACCGAGAGACACTGAAACCTCAAACCCCAAAGCCCAAACGATAATCTATGACATAGAGCCCTAAGAAATCAGGAAAACACATGAAAGTATACAACAAATCTTAGAATGGATGTTGGAAAGAGTTGTACTATCTGCTACAAGTACAGTAGCGCACTTTATAAATTTACTACAAAACTGTGTATTCATAGGCATGATATTATGCAGTGCTGCCTGGCGCCCCCACCGGTGCTAACTTCGCCCTACATCAGGGATTCGGGTTTGGGGTTCAGGACCGGCGTGTAAGTGCCCCCCAAAAATCCGTATCAGCAGGCGCCTCCACGGTACAAGAGCAGAAGGGAAGTGAAAACACTTTCCGACGCATCACTCGATAAAGCCTCAACGGTCCTAACAAGAAGCGCCACAACACAACTTCGAATCGCAAAAACCCTTGCGACACAAGAATCGGAAGAAAGATAACGCCTCAGCCCGCAGGCCTGGGAATCGTCAGGCTCTGGTCAAAGCTGTGCTACTGCCGTGTAGGGTCCAAGAGGAGCATTCAAGTACCACGTATTCCTGAACCCTACAAGCCCTCAACCTCCCCACAAGCCTATTACGCCTAAAATACGAACCCGAACCCCAAAGAAACATTGGAGGAGTTTAGAAGTTAGAGCCCCACTGGAAACTTCGAGGCTCACCCTACTGCGATACCGCTACGGGGTCTCGGGCTGGAGGTACAAGCTCACATCACCAGTTTTGGAGCCAGACCATGTTATCGACAGCTCTGAACCCCTGTTTCCAACCCACACCTGCGCAAATGCACGGGGCTGGGAGGGCGCCAGGCCTCTTCGTGGCCCTGGTAGCCGTAGCCTTCGTAGCCCTGGTGCGGAGCATTCGGCAACTCCCCCTGAGCGGGAGGCGCCCGCACAGGGCCGGAGCAACACGACGGTGTTTTGGGGCTTAAAGTCTACCCATAGGCCCCATAGTAGTTCCCTTTTGGGGTTCATATTCAGAATTCTATAAGGTAATCCCAAAAAGGAACTACTATGGGGCCTATGGGTAAGCCTCAACAAAGTTGAGACTGCTCCATGCAGTGAGGCTTCAGTGCCGTAGTAGCATCTGCAGCATGAGGCAAAGGGGCGGGACTTGCAGTTCAATCCTATGGCGGAGGATTTGCAAGAAAGGCATGCGTACGGACGTTCGAGCGGCCGGACACGTGCCTTAGCGGCTGGCGGCCGAATCTGCGGTTGTGAAGCCTGAATCACGGAACGCTGAAAAGATACAGGGCTGCTTGGGCTTAGGGCCGCGGTGTTTTTGGGCCGCGGTGATTTTGGCCTGGAGGTCTTGGCACCGTGCGGTTCTGGGAGAAAAAGACCGGGGTACACTAGAGTGCTGTGTCGGACAAAGATGGAGCCGGAACTCAGCGCAGCGCCGCGCGGTGCTTGCGTCTTGGGGGTTGTCGCAAGGGGTTTGGGACCTTGGGGCTGTTGCTCTGCGCATAGGCCTCATAGTACAACGTTCCTTTTTGGGATTACCTTATAGGGTTCTAAATATGAACCCTAAAAAGGAACTACTATGGGGCCTATGGGTGCAGTCATGTCTCGAATAGGTCGGTCTTCAAGACACAAACGGAACCTCGCTTAAGCCGAAGCTGCTGTCTGTCGCCTGAAAAAACCTACCCCAATCTACCCATAGGCCCCATAGTAGTTCCTTTTTGGGGTTCATATTTAGGGTTTAGGGTTTAGTAGCTCCTTTTGGGTTCATATATTTAGAATCCTATAAGGTAATCCCAAAAAGGAACTACTATGGGGCCTATGGGTAAAGCACTTCATCAGAGCACTAAGCAAGTTACAACGAACACGCACCCCTCAGGATGGATCTTTGTCAAGCAGTACCACTACATCTTCACAGCATGACGTCTATGACTGATTTCGCGGCCGGAGTCTGCAATCATGCTTTCGCTCCAGACTCATGGAGTGGTGATACAGTTACTTGACAACTACATCTCTGAACTATCTTTTGCCCTTTACACCAGGTTAGGGAAAAACCGAGAATCTGATGTTTCCCTGTTCTGCACAGTCCTGTGGAGTGGTGCGGCCGGCCTCATAGGAGCGTTCGTACCCCTCGTAGTCGTAGTCTTCGTAGCCCTCGTGTGGAGCGTTCAGCAATTCCCCCTGCGCGGGCGGCGCCTGCACAGGCAACCCAGCATCACACGAGTTTCGGAGAACAGTACTTAAACCCTAAACCCTAAACCCATACCCCAAACTCCCCTAAGCCCGACATACCCTAAACCCCTAAACCGTACACCCTATGCCCCAAACCCCAAAACCTTACACCCTATGCCCCAAACCCTACGTGGCATGAGAACTGCTTGACTTCTCCGATCCGGTGCGGGTGGAAGTGCGGGAGGGGCCTCTCGGAGCCTACTTACCGTGTTTTGGGGCTTATAAGTAGGGTTTAGGGTTTTTTTGCCTCCTATTTAGAGGGTTTAGGGTTTAGGGTTTTGGGGCTTATAAGTAGGGTTATAATTAAGGTAACTATACTTATATCTACTTAGAACCCCAATTAAGGGACTTATAACCCTACTTTCTAAGTCTTATGATCCTCCACGTAGGGCTTATAAGTCTAAGCGCCAACAAAAGTTGAGACTGCTCCATGCAGTGAGGCTTCAGTGCCGTAGTAGCATCTGCAGCATGGGGCAAAGGGGCAGGACTTACAGTTCAATCCTATGGCTGAGGATTTGCAAGAAAGGCGTGCTTACGGACGTTCGAGCGGCCGGACACGTGCCTTAATGGGTGGCGGCCGTATCTGCGGCTGTGAAGCCTGAATCACTGAACGCTGACAAGATGCAGGGCGGTTTTGGCTTGGGGCTGCAGCGTTTTGGGTTTGGGCTTGGGTTGTGGCCTTGGAGCCGTGCATGACAAGCAGAATTAGCCCTGCCCGCTTCAGCAGCAACATGTCTGGAGGGTGTCTCAAAGGCTTCAGGGCCTTGGAAGACCTCGCTCAAAGGCGCTCTGTTAGCCTTCGGAAACCGACCAAAATCCATCAACATCCCTCGAAACACCTGTGGTGAACCTGCAATCCACGATCTGAAATCTGAAACCATGGCATTCCAACTTTGTATGATCAGAGGCTCTAGCTTCAAAGGACAGCTGAACTGTGTTTAGAAGTACAAAACACCCCTGCACAAACCGGAGCCTGCTGTCACTGCAGAGTCACTAGAGGAGTCGGGCTAGTGTCCCCACGAATGCTATCGCTCATGTAATGGTTACAAATGTACTAAACATATTATAGGCGAAAAAGTATTTTTTCGCCTATAATATGTTTAGTAATGGTTACAAATGTATGCCACTTTGACGCCATCCGCACAACCGCAGGTGGCCGTTCGCGGCCTCATGGGAGTGTTCGTACCCCTCGTAGTCGTAGCTCTCGTGTGGAGCGTTCCGGAACTGCCCCCGTGCGGGTGGCGCCTGCACCGGGAACCCGGCATCACGACTCTCGGAAGCATGTGGCGTGAGAACTTTCTCGACTTCTCTGACCGGGTGAGTCGGGACCAGGGCATAATTCCAAGCCCCGTGAGCTTAGAACCATCAAGCTACCGGTGGGAAGTTAAACTATAGAGGGAGACTGCAGCGCGCGTGCTGCCCTGATAAGACCTGTACCATGGGCAGCAGTTGGAGTTCAAAGTCAATGGCTCAGAATTTGCTAGACTGACAGACGTGCTTATGTGCTCATGCGCCATTGAAAGGGTCTCGACTTCCAGCACTTTCCGTCTCAAGGACGAACAGCGAGCAACGACGGACCCACTCTTCCAAAGTTCCGTTTATCTGCAAACCACAGTAGCCGCGCTGAGATTGGACCCCGAATGCGCTCATCCACGCATGGGTAGTTCTCTAAACTAGGGTACCGCTTTATAATGGTGCCGTACTTTCGAGGACCTAGAAGGGGACCCTAGTTTCGAGCACTAACCACATTAGACCCCTTATAGGAACCTTTATAGAAACCCTTATAGATCCCTTCAGGGAGCCGAAAAAGGGACCCCAATTGGGACAGGCCGGACTTGGGCAAGGTGGTGCCTTGACCTGGGGCGGCCGTATCTGCGGCGGTGGAGGAGCCTGAACGACTCTGTTTCGTTCCTTGGGGACCCAATGACCCTTATAAGTAGGGGCCCTATACCCTTATACTATGACTCCCTATGAACCTGAAACCCTTTCAGGGTTCACTCCGTCCTTAAAGTTAGGGGCTTCGACAAGACTTGGACGGGTTCAAGTCTTTGAGCAAGTATATCCTGAACCCGATACACCTAAAGCAAAAACCCAGGATGTTCACCGACTGTTCAAAGGACAGTGCCGCTGGTATGTGGCTTAAGAAGCACATCACCAGGGTTTGAGCTCACGGGGCATTGGGATGTCTGGAAGGGGGGGGGGGTCATTCCCATAAGGGATCCTTTTTGGTCTCTTAGGTTTAGGGTTTAGGGTTAGGGTTTTTGTGCTCCTTTACGGGATCCTTTCGACTCTCACTCTCGCACAGGCAGGCAAGGCTCCACGTAGTTCCGTCGCGATGCACGCACAGGAAGTACGGAATCCCCCTAAACACTTTCAGCATGGGCTTGGATTGTGTGCCAGCGAACACACCTGCTGTTGAAAACTAAACCCCTAAACTCCTTTTTGCATCAGGGCTTGTGCAATCGCCTGAATGTCTGAGCCTAAACCCCTAAACTCTAAACCCTTTAATATAAGGGATCCTTTCGGGGTGGTTCGTCTGATGCCACATTGGTCACCGGGGGCTTCTAATTCGACCTCGGGCTCCCCTAAATCCCAAGCCCCTCGAGGCCTTGTGTCCTGCGCTTGGACAGGTTTCATGTACTTCAGGGTTTAGGGTTTCATATATTTTGGCGTTTAGGGTTTGATGTACAACAACAATTTCGTAGACCGTTTCGATCTCTTGACAGAAGATCGAAACATCAGGCATCCGGAGTTTACAGCTGGAAGCCCTGCGCAGAGAAAGCGAACAAACCTTCCTTCACCCGCGCCCGATGCCCAAATCGACAGTTGCGGCCAGATTCGGACTGCTACACCGCGACAAAATTGCTTCAACACCCGTGCCCTGTGGGCCTCGGCATCCCAGGACTCGCGCTGGTCCATAGGCATCGTAGGTCCTGCCAGCCGCAATGCGCCGCAAAGAACTGCTCCAAGAAATCGCACAATTTTACGAATGAAACAGTCGAGTCGTGCCAACACGGGAACCCAATACATCACACACTCAGCGGTAAACCAAGAGGACAGAACATGCCATAGATTGCAAAACTTGGGCCGCTTCGAAAGGGGCTCGCTAAACTTGAACATTTAGTTCAAAGTTTCATCGGTGCTCTTGTTGCCGGAGCGGTCTTTCAAGAAGAGTGGCACTGCTGAGGCTAGTAACCACAAACATCTTGAGATTGCATCAAACCATAGGGCGATAATGCGATTAGAGTCAACAGCAAAAGCGAACGTAAGCACAGGCCAGAAACGAGTAGTTCTACTCCGTCGTCGTCGTAGTCGTCGTCGTCGTCGCCGTCGTCGTCGTGGGAGTGGGAGTAGTAGTAATGGGGGTAGTAGTAGTAGTAGTAGTAGTAGTAGTAGTAGTAGTAGTGGTAGTAGTAGTAGTAGTAGTAGTAGTAGTAGTTGTTGTTGTTGTTGTAGTGGTAGTAGTAGTAGCAGTAACAGTAGCAGTAGAGTAG